TTTTTGTTCTGTTCCCAGCATTCATTCTGAGCATCTTATGCCGTAATTTTGGGGTTCGTCCCCGTTTTTGTTCCCTTCCATTCACTCCGAGCATTTTGTGCTGAAATTTTGGGGTTTGTCCCCCTTTTTGTTCTATTCCCCTCTACTCCCTCCAAGCATTTTGTGCTGAAATTTTGGGACTTCTCACCTTCTTTGTTCTCTTCCCCGCTATTCACTTCAAACATAATTTTGGGGTTTGTCCCCCTTTTTGTTCTGTTCCCAGCATTCATTCCAAGCATCTTGTGCCAAAATTTTGGGGTTTGTCCCCATTTTTGTTCCCTTCCATTCACTCCGAGCATTTTGTGCTGAAATTTTGGGGTCTGTCCCCTTTTTTGTTCTGTTCCCAACATTCATTCCAAGCATCTTGTGCCGTAATTTTGGGGTTTGTCCCCCTTTTTGTTCTGTTCCCTTCTGTTCACTCCAAGCATCTTGTGCCGTAATTTTGGGGTTTGTCCCCGTTTTTGTTCCCTTCCATTCACTCCGAGCATTTTGTGCTGAAATTTTGGGATTTGTCTCCATTTTTGTTCTCTTCCTTCCGTTCACTCCAAGCATCTTGTGCAGAAATTTTGGGGCTTGTCCCCTTTTTTGTTCTGTTCCCCTCCATTCATCCAAACATTTTATGCAGAAATTTTGGGGTTTGAATCCCTTTTCCTTCAATTCCCATCCATTCACTCCAAGCATCCTGTGCAGAAATTTTGGGGTTTGTCCCATTTTTGTTCTGTTCCCCACCAGAATGGGAAGGGATAAGGTTGGGGATGGGTGTCCTGGTCCCTCAGGTGTCATTGGCTTCTTTGGGACCCCAAAAATGAACATCATGGCCCTTTGGAGTCCCTCAGAATGGGAATCCTGGCTTTTGGTGTCTCCCACCTCATCCCAGGATGGGAATTCCAGCCCCTCAGGGCTCCAGGCTCAGCAGGGCCCTGTCCCTATGGGATGATCCCATTCCAGGATGGGAATCCCAGCCCTTCAGGTGTCCCACACTATCCCAGGATGGGAATTCTGGCTTTTTGGGTCTCCCACACCACCCCAGGCTCAACAGGGCCCTCTCCCTATGGGATGATCCCATTCCAGGATGGGAATCCCAGCCCTTTGGGGTCCCCCAGGATGGGAATCCTGGCTTCTCAGGGCTCCAGGCTCAGCA